TTCCAAATGACAAGAAAGATCAATGCAAAAATATGATGAATTTTTTTTACCAAAAATGGGAAGAAATGTTGATGAGGATAGAATGTAAAAATGGGTCAATAGTGATTTTGGTGAAGCAAAATGATTATAATGATTTTTTGATTTTTTTGATTTTTGTGTTTTTTTCTTTCTTTTTCTTCTAAACAAACTTGCAAAAAATGAAAAAAATGCACATTAAAATGCAAGAAAATAAATAACTTAATAAATAGAAAAATTCAAAAAAATATTAAAAATTGACAAAAATTTGGTGTCTACAAAGACCCCATGGATATGAAATGTGCGTATTTAGTAAGCCTGACCACCACAACCATGATGACATCATGTCCCAAGGATTTTGGCAAGCCTTCGATGAAATCCATTGAGATATGTTACCAAGCTTGCTCTGGTATTGTGAGAGGCTGTAGTAAGCCAGGGTAACTAGCTTGCTTACTTTTGCTCCTCTTGCATATGTCACAAGACTGAACATATGCTTCTACTTCCTTTTTCATTCCTGCCCAAAAGAAATAACTCTTCAACCTTTGGTATGTTCCCTGATTGCCAGAGTGGCCCCCAACTGCAGAATCATGCATACAACTAACAAGTTGCTTCCTAAGATCAGTGGTAACTCCAATGTATACCCTCCCCTTGTATTTGATAATCCCTTGATGGTAGGAGTAATCAGGTGTACTAGAGCTGTCTATTGCGAGTGCTGTTAATATTTCTTTGATTTTGTCATCTCCATTGTAGCTCTCTGATACCTTAGACAGCCATAGAGGCTTGACTGTAGATATAGAGTGAATTTCCTTGTCACTTTCCTGCTTGCTTCCTTCTGCAAAACCTCCTTGCCTTCTAGAAAGAGCATCTGCAATTGTATTATCCTTGCCTCTCTTGTATTGGATTTCATAGTCCAATCCCATCAATTTTGCAAGCCATTTCTGTTGTAGGAAAGTAGTGATCTTTTGTTCTAGCAAATATTTTAGACTCTCATGGTTGGTTCTGATGATGAAATCAAATCCCAATAAGTAATGCCTCCATTTTCCCACAGCAGTGATCAGAGATAGCAACTCCTTTTCATAAATGGACAGTGACTGATTTTTTTGTCCCAAAGCTTGGCTCATATATGCTAGTGGTCTCCCTTGCTGCATCAGTATTGCCCTCATGGCTGTTTGGCTTGCATCCGTTTCTAATACAAAGGGCAAGGAAAAGTTGGACAAAGCTAGTACAAGAGCCTGTGTCATAGCCACTTGAGCTGCTCAAAGGCAGATGTAGCTGCTTCATTCCAGACGAAACTGTTCTTTTTAAGCAACTTAGTTAGGGGCTTTGCTATTTTTTCATAACCCTTAATAAACCTCCTGTAGTAACCAGTCAATCCAAGGAACCCTCTAAGAGCCTTAATGTTATCAGGAACTGGCCAGGACAACATTGCCTCTACCTTTGTAGGATCAGCAGAAACACCTTCAGTAGTAACTACATGCCCCAAATACTCAATTTTATCTTGACCAAAGGAACATCTAGACATCTTAGCATGTAAGGAATGAGTTCTCAAGGTGTTAAGAACAAGGGATAGGTGTTTAAGATGGCCATTCAGGTCTAAACTATAAACAAGAATATCATAAAAAAATACAAGCACAAATTTTCTGACGAAAGGTTCGAATATAGAATTCATTAAGGCTTGAAATGTCGCAGGAGCATTTGTGAGGCCAAAAGGCATCACCAGGTATTCATAAAGGTCAGAGTGAGTTTTAAAGGCTGTTTTAGGAACATCAGAGGGGTTCATACGAATTTGATGGTAACCTGACCGTAGATCTAGTGTAGAAAATATCCTTGCATTGTATAGTTCATCAAGCAGGTCATCAATGATAGGAATGAGAGATTTATCTTTGATGGTAAAGTTGTTGAGCTGCCTATAATCAATGCACAACCTCCAGCTTCCATCCTTTTTTTTGACTAGGAGAGTTGGAGATGCAAAGGGGTTGTGGCTAGGTTGTATGATACCAGATTGCAACAGGTCTTTGACCTGTCTTTTTATTTTTGATTTCTGCATGTGAGGATATCTGTAGGGATTAATTTTGAAGGGTTTAGCATCAGGTATGAGGGGTCTTTGATGGTCAAATTCTCTGATAGGGGGTAAAGATATAGGTTCCTTAAAGATGTCTTGGTATTGGTCAAGCAATTGAGTAATAGATTTTGGTACAGGAGTTACCCGACTATTCTGTACTCTGATCATGCAAGAGTGTTGCAAAGAAGTCCTGATTTTGTTCCTGATATACTTTTGTGGTGCTGTCCCTTGCCTCATCCTCACCTTTGCCATGTATGGATTACCTTGTAGCAACATAGTTTCACCTTCCTTATCAAAGAATAATGTCAGCTCCTTAAAATCAAAAGTGATTGGACTGTAATGTTTCATCCAATCTACCCCAAGGATTAAATCATATGGTTCTAAGTCCGACACATATACATTCTGAGTGAAGTTGTGTCCCTGCAAATCCCATTTTATATTTGGAATCCACTGATTGCATGTTAACTCCTCTCCATCAGCTATCCTCACCTTGAAAGGCTTATGATTCTGCACACCATCAGGAAGTAGTTGAGCAACGGCTGATCTAATATAACATTTGGTACTCCCCCCATCTAGCAGAATGGATAAATCGTGCCCCTATAGTGCCCTATCATCTTAATGGTATTGGAAGACGTGTGTCCTGAGGCTGAGTGTAGTGAGAAAGCTACGTCCCTGCCAGACTTGTTCCCTTGATACTCAATGATTTCTCCTTCTTCTTCATCTACTTCAGTGTCTAGCAATCCTTCCTCATATGCTAGTACTAAATGTATCTCTTTATTCTTGCATATGTGTCCAGGGGAAAACCTTTCCCCACATCTGAAGCACAGGTTGTGATCCTTCCTATGCTGAAATTCCGTGGGCGAGATTCTCTTATAGCCTTGAGGAGAATCCTTCTTAATACTATTCTCGAACACCTGAGTTGCAGGTTTCTTGTGGCTCAGGTCATTAAGGTGGGTATGTTTGCTTCCAGAAGAAATTGGTGGAGGTACCTTCACTGGTGTTTTATTTTGCTTTAAGATGATACTCAGATATTGCTCTTGCCACCTAGTCTTTTCGAATGCTACTTGCAAAGTCTGAGGCATGTGCATCTTCACAGCAGCCTTGATCTCCTCCTTTAGTCCACTCAGAAAACTAGAAACATAATATGACTTAGAGAGGAGAGGGAGCTTTACCATGACAGTAGCTCTTAATTCTTCAAACTTCTCTTGATATGCCAATACTGCTGAATCCTGGTACAACTTGTTGAATTCCTCTATCACATCTTCTCCCCTTATATCCCCAAATCTTCTACAAAGTTCTGAGGCAAACTCCCCCCACTGCACCACTCCTCGATCCTTCTTAAAGCTTTGATATCATAGATCAACCTTGCCTTCCAAATGCAGTTCAACTACATCCATTTGCTGGCCTTCTGGGATCTGGTATAGCTAAAAAAACTTCTCACATTTCCTGATCCATTCGCGAGGATTGGAGCCTCCAAAGCTGGGGAATTTTAGTTTGGGAACTCCTATTGGGAAACGACTCTTCTCTCCCAAAAAAGGATTGCTTCCTTCTGGACTTTTCCTAAGTGTCTAATGAAGACGGCGCTCAGATGAGTTAGGAGATTGGCCTAGAATTCCTTTTCCCCCCTGCAAGCTCCTCATGAAGGTATTGAACTGAGCACTCATCGTGACCATGAAATTCTTCATCTCTTCCTTTAGTTCAACATGTTTGCTTCCACCAGAGCCTTCATGTCCACGTAGTTAGATTCCATTTTTTCCTCCAAGGCTTGGCGTTTGATTGTACTGGATTCGAGGATAGCTTGGATTTTCGCATCTTGCTTCTTCAGCGATTCCTCAAATCCCTTCATTCTGGTGCCTTCCGCCATTGTTGCTTAGATTGGAGCTTGCAATTCCGAGGAACACAAGCTCTGATACCAAATGTAATGGTTGGGAATTGGTTGGTTCGGCTAAGGACAGAAATATAGAAAGAGATAGAGAGAAAAGGTTGAGAGAAAAAAGAGGGAGCAGAATGAGTGGAAAGAAGCGGGAAAGTTGTATTCTTCAATGATCACAATTTGCATGCCTCTTTAGATTAGCATTGGCCTATTAATAGAAAGCTTCCCCCACTAACTAATCAGTAACCAACTTTCTGCAAGTGGTAGCCATTATAACAATTCCAGCAAGGTAATATTTGGCTAACAGAATTTGGCTAACTATTTTTGTCTTATTTTCTGCGGAGTCATTACATCACGCTCAACTCGTCCTTGATTTTGATTGAGTGTGAGTCAAACTTTTAATCGACCTACTTGCGAGCTGCTCACGACGAGATCGGTTCTATTATATTCCTAGTGGTGGTGCAGCTAAGGTTACAAATGAATCGAACCACTCGAGTCGAGTTCCAGTTAGCCAAATCGAATTCGAATTCAAAAATATTCGCGAGCTTGAGTGTGTGTGTATATATATATATACTAGTTTTGGTGTGCCACGCAATGGCGTGGCACTGCCCAGGCTTGTGTTTAATATGTATAATTTTGGTGTTATTTACAAGGAGAGCAATGCATGGTAATGTTGATGGAATAGCGTGGTAGGGTTTAGTTATTATGGAAAAGATGTTATTTATTAAAATTTATTTTCACGTTTATTGAAAAATTGAATGGAATGCCAGCTGTTTGTGTAGATACGAAGTGATTTGGGATGTATGATGTGTCAACTGAAGGTAGTTGTGATTTTGCATGGTTGCCAAGTATTTTGAGTTTGCACGACACTTGGATGTTTATAGGTGTCGGGTGTAGCATATCTGCATGGGGGTAGCATGTGAGTATTTGTGTTTTGTAGCAATATTTTGACTGCTATAAATGTGTGTGTTTAATTTGGAGCTTTCGGGAGTGTAAAGGGAAAGTAGTTTGTCTATAGAGGTGTACTTGTAAACTTGTAAATGTGTGTGTTTATTTTTCAATTGATTTTCGCTTTGCCATAGTAGCTTCATCCCAAATGATCAGCTGTGCATTTTTTATCTGATGATCAGTGTCAAAGAAATATAATTGAAGATTTTTTGGCTGTTCACCATCAGCAGGAATGAGCTGATTTATATAGTGATACATCTGTCCTTGGATTCGAAAAATATAAATTCCTTTGTATGCTTTGCCAAGAGATTGATCTGTGTGGACTCCAATAGAGGTAAAGGCAAATACGTTGTTATAGCTTCTAACACATCGACGGAACTCTATGGCATCTTCAGTATTATCAAGATAAAGCAGCATAAGTTTCCTTAGCATCTCAGTTGCTATTAATTGAATCTCTCCAGAAGCACAGCAAAATCCTGGAGGTTCGAGACAGAAACGCTTTGCATTGCAATATTGACAGTTAGCAGTTGCTGGTAATAAGCTAGGCTCAGTTGCACTGTTATCTAATGGATCCTTCTGTTTTTTCTTTTGTTGATTCCTCTTTCGATTACTCTGAAAGCTATTACTTTGGGCCAGTAAAGATTCAGTTGTTGGGATATTATCATTAGCAGAAGGATCATGAAAAGTAGCATCTATAGATTGGTAGAAAGCTGACCTGTCTAATGCTTTCTCTGTAAGTTTCTGTCTTTTACCCTCTTTGGTCATATTATGCATCCTTGATAATGATTGACCCTACTCTTTGCCTATATTAGGCAAGGTTGTCACCTCAGCCAAACTGCTATTAGCAGTAACAGCAATATTATGGAATGTATGCCGTAACTCATCATTAGATCTCTCAGCAGAAACTGGTATATCAAAGAGTATTGATTGAGAAATCTCATCTGCTAAAGATATCTCAGCCACTTGTTGATTGCATTTATGTTGAGCATTTTGCAGAGATTTGATCAACTACAATGGACTAGTTCATTACACTGTTAGAAACTTGAGGATCATTAAAGCCAGTAAACTTTTCATAAAAAATATCAGCAGATGAAACACACTCTCTGTGTTGACCATCAACAGCCCCAACATTTGCTTGCAGAATCATATTTTCAGCAACACTAAATCCTGTCACTGCAATTGCACATACACCAGTACAAGGCTGATTTTTATTTTTGCCTTTTGCAGCATGTCGCTGTTGTCGACGCCTCCTATTTTTCTCAATATACAGGTCTTCAAGAGTTCGATATTTTCTGGGCCGTCCCATTATTGAGGAGGATAATAGAGATATGACAAAGCAGAACAAATTGGACCACAAAAGATACTATCTTGACAAGTAGAACAGCATTCAACATATGAATAAGATCAAAGCAATGAAAATAACAATGGCACAAATCGTAAGAAAAACAAGTAGACTCAAATTTGATGAAAGCTATATAATACGTAAATCTATCTGTAATTGTTGATTATAAACATTTATATGCATACCTTATAGCATCCATGACCTTAAGCAGAAAGCTCCAAACCTAATAGTACGCTACCGTACCTGTTTTTCTTCCTGAAAATCAAAAGGAGTTCATACAAAATTAATGCCAATAATAAGCATTGCTACAAATCAATATAAACAACAGAACGAGAATGAAAACAGAGAACAAGGCTTGGAAAAACTAAAAGCAAGTTATAAAATAGTAAGAAATTGAATTTTAAGATTATACTTAGCTACCCAATCTGCATGGACAAAGATGTCAGAAAAGAATCATATGTAACAGTCATTAAACGAAAAATCGATTACACCAGGGAAGAATTCAGGAAGATTCTATGAACGATTAAAAAAATACTGACTAATATGATAGAAACTTATCCCCATGCATGCAACAGATACAGAAAAAAAAATAACAGACCAACATGCAACAACATATAAAAGTTCTGTATAACAGAAACTAATAGCAAATGAATCGATAACAAAGGAGGGTGCATCAAGGCTCATGCGATAGCAATTTTGCAACAAATCAAGATATATCAAAGCTCATGCAATAGTAAGTTTGCAAAATTCTCTCCATTATCCAAAAAAAAATACTGGCTGATATGGTAAAAAGCAAAAAACAATCCCCATGCATGCAACACATAGAAAAGAAAAAATAAAAAACTAATATATAGAAGAAAACTTAAAAGAAAGAAGAAAAGAAAGCTCCCTACAACCTAAGCGAGAGCGAAAAACAACAAAATGAAAACTGACAGCACACTGACGCAGCCAACTCGCATCAATCCAGCATTTAAGAAAGAGGAGCAGAATACAAATGAGCCAAAGTCGTCTGAGAAAAAGAAGCAGAATACAAATGACCCAAAGTCAAAGGAGGAACGAACCAGAGCAAAAGGGAACAACAAAAGCAACTCTGAGTAAGAAGGAAACAGAGCAAGAACAAAGCAGAGCAAAAGGAAACAACAAAAGCGGCTAAAATTTTAGATGGATATGAGCAACGTCCACTACCTGCAGCCAGCTCAACAATGACCGAATGCAGCATACGCAATATAGCGCCACACAGGTACTAACAGAAGGACCCACTAAGAGCACTAAGAGCACAACCCACTAAGAGAAGTAAGAGCACCGACCAAAGAATATACGCTGTAAGCCTAACCAAAGGCCCCTTAATATATATGTTGTAAGGCTAACCAAAAGCCCCTCAAATTGGTGTAAATTACTGCAATAATCGGACCACAAGTAAGAGCACCGACCAAAGAATACTTATACGCTGTAAGCCTAACCAAAGGCCCCTTAATATATATGTTGTAAGGCTAACCAAAAGCCCCTCAAATTGGTGTAAATTACTGCAATAACCGGACCACAATTGCTACAGTAGCCGCAGCTTGGTACTTTTATATTTTGTAAGATATATATATTATTTTAATAGTAAAATTACATATATATTCATAATATTTTATAATTGATTAATAAAAATTATTATTTTATTTATTTTTTTAAAAATAAAATAATTATTTTTTATTTTTTCGACCTCGAGCTTTAAATTGGAAGTTCATCGAGTTCAAGTTCAAGTTCGAATTTGATAAAATTAAGTTAAAATCCGGCTCAATTAGATTAAAACTCAACTTGACTCGACTCGTTGCAGTTCTGGGTGCCGCTATAAAAGGATCATATAGGACACATAATTAAAGGTTAAGGACTAAAATGGCGAAAACAAAAATTGATAGGCTTTAGCACGGAAGTTGAAGGACTAAAATGATCATTTACCCCATGTAAAATAGGGGAAAAAACTTGTTCTCTAGAATGAAAGTAACAAAAACCAGGGTTTTAGCTTTTTCCTATTGGAAATCGCGAGTGAAGCCACTTAAATAAACTTCTTCTTTAGAACCCGCAGCGGCGCCATATCAGCGCCTCCGCCGACGCCGCCGCAATGCCCACCGTGAGCGTTGGCAGAGACCGACTTTTCGAAGCCCTGGGTCGTACTTACAGTAAGTCCAATAGAATCTCTTACCAATTCAAATCGATCGAATAATACGCGGACAGTGATGTGTATTTCTCGTGGCCTTGTTTTATTTTTATTTTTATTTTTCTTTTTTTTGGCACATTCTGCTATGGATGATTTCAATCTGAGCAGCTCAGGAAGAGTTCGAAGAGCTGTGCTTCAAATTCGGAATCGAGCTTGATGACGTCGTATGCTCCTTATGAATTTCTTTGATGATTTACTAATTTGCAGCATGCTTTAGTTTCTCATTTGCTATTTATTTGCAAAATGAGAGAAAAAGGAATTTTGAGAAATGATTTTTTTAATTTGTTTGCTTCAAGTTTTGAGATATATAGTGGAAGAAGGTTTCAAGCATGTTTTGTTGTGCTTATGTGGAAATTCAGACAACAGAGAAGGCAATTATAAGGAAGGAAAAGCATTTGGGAGAGGAGGAAGGGTTAGAGGATGAAGAAGTAATCTACAAAATTGAGGTGCCAGCGAATAGGTATATGTAGAGAGTGATATTCATATGTGTATTTGCTTGTAGGATTTTTCTATTCTTATTAGGAATATAAGAGGGAAAATTTTGGAAAAGAAGTGCTTGAACAAAATCTTCATAAAAAGGTGCAATTTTTGGTTATTTATATCATTGAGATTATCAAATGTATGTTATGCAAGGGAATTTTGTACAAAATATGGTACAAATCATGTATAACTGTAGTACATTTTAACGATTGATGTCCTTAATAATAAATACACAAATTCTGCCTTCTTAAATATTTTTCTTCAAGCACACGATTGTTCTTTGAGGTGCACCATTTGTCTCTGGAGCTCACCCATTGGAAAGTTTCTTTAAATATAAAATATTGGGAATCAATTGCACCAAAGTATTTTGTTGATCTTGGTCTTCTGACGCTTTCCTGGTGATCATACACAATTAGTGGCTTCATTCCTCATAAGTACGTCGATATAAAGGTTGCTTGATTAATTAATAGTAGATCAGAAATGGAAAAATGGTCCCTTAGATGTGTTCCAGTGTTGGTCGTAGATAACTTTAGCAAATTTTAGGCATTTTCATTTCTCTAAAGGTGCATATATTTTGTTAACTAATTAATCTCTGGAAAGGTAAACAAACGTATCATTTATTTGTATAATTTGATGTTATGCAGATATGATTTACTTTGTCTTGAAGGGTTGGCTCAGGCCCTTCGTATATTTAATGGGCTTGACCCGATTCCTACATATAAAGTTGCTGGTATAAATAAAGAATCATTTCTCGAGATGCATGTAAAATCAGAGGTATGTGTTTTCGAAAACTAAGGAATTTTTCCCTATATTAGGACTGCAGTTGCAACAACTGGTAGATTGTACTTCACTGTTGGAGGGAATTATAGTTAGCATTGCGTAGATCCTGTTGACATTCTTGTTTGTCCTTCCAGACATCTAGGATACGGCCATATGTTGTTTGTGCAGTTTTACGAGATGTAACATTTGATGAAGCCCGCTACAACAGCTTTATTGATCTTCAAGATCGGCTTCACCAGAATATCTGCCGGTAATTTGACCACATTTTAAGAGATACTTGACAAATAATTTTTTTAGCATGTCCTGATAGTCATATCCAATAATGTGGCAGTGTCACTATATACCAATTTTGGAAATTGATGAATCTGATACTTAGACATGCACCCCTGCTTGAGAAATTGTAACATGGAAAGCTAGAAGTGAAAGAGAATATGACCAGCTCTACCCCTGGGGATTCATTTAACTCATAGGTCATAGAATTTGCTATATCAGTTGGTATCCTTGCATCTGCTGCTGAAATTTCTCAATTACTGTAGCTGTTTGCCTACTTTTCTCTAGCAACCAAGTGGTTACAATTTCCATGTGTTTCTTTTAAGAATCCACAAGTTGAAGATTCTGTTTTTCTGGTTCACAAGCTAGACAGATTGCTAGAGTATCCTTCTCTGGTCTGGAATCTCTCTCTCATTTTTTCTGTGCTGTTGTCAGCCAATTCTATTTTGAATGTGGAAAATTTGGATTTTCCTTCCATCCTGATCTTTGGCTTTGCCATGGTAAAAGACTAAAATTTCTGTCATCAAACCAATTGCAGTTTCAGATCGGTTAAGTTGGTCTTCTTCCATTTTGACATGTGGGTTTGTTGTGGTAAATGATTCTTTCTTTGTTTTTTTTTTTTGGTATATTTGGGGTTTGATGGAACTAAGTTTCTTATGTATTGCTTGTCTCATGACTGGGAGCATTTTAATCTCCGTAAAGACAGAATATGTGTTAATTATAATTACCACATTACCTATATGTTTTGTTTTACAGGAAACATACTAATTTTACTTAGTGATGCCCATGTAGTTTGTGCCACTGAGATTTGAAATGTTGAATTTGTTCTGATGCATGCAATTCTCTTGATGCTTTGGCTGCCATGACCAATACCCTTTATATATTGCAACGGCTTTTGAAGGTATTAAACTTTTGTTTTCTTACTCTTCAATTGTTCTCCATTTAGGCGAAGAACATTGGTGGCAATTGGTACGCATGACTTAGATACAATTGAAGGCCCGTTCACATATGAGGTACACTGTTTTTTTGTTTCCTGTAGACAGATTTTGACATAATAGATGTCTTTATTGTGCATATACTTGGTATGAAAATTGATATTAGTTTAATATCTTTATTTCATTAGTTTAGATTTCTGTTATAGAGCTTGTTTGCATGCTTAGGAGTTAAAATCTGTAACTCATGCCTCATGGTTAGAATATAACTGAAAGTTTGAATTTCCAGACTGTTTCTGCTACCTTTTTGTGGAGTAGAAGTTTGAACCTATTGAAGCTTGACAGACAGCATGGATGCTTCCCTCTTGTAGTTGGTTGAATAAGCATTCTGATAATTCTTTTCTTCCTGTTATGTGGAGGAGTTGATGTATGTTTTGTAAAATATATTGTAATTGTGAAATTCATGTATGTTGGCTCTTGGTACTTACTCAAGTTTCATTTCAATTGTAGGCTTTGCCTCCTTCAGAAATTAATTTTGTGCCACTGAAGCAGGTAGGACCATTATTTTCTAGCTTGAATCTGTGTTTTGAGATTTCTGAGTCAAGACTGGATTTAGTATTATTGGAATAACAAATTTATGTGGAGATCCAAAAAAAGATATTGGATGGGAACTTTGTGATGTCAGCTCTTGAACGAACCATTTCTTACTGGTACCAAGGTGTCAAGTGATATGGTAAATCCAATATGTTTTTGTAAAAATATCTGCTGATATGACATAAAGAAACCACCTGGGGAATTAACGGTATTTTTCTGTCAATAATGAAAGGCAGATGACAAAGTTTCTTGTCTAATTCTTGTTATCTCTGTGTGGTTTTGTGTCAGTTTTAAAGAACGATTTCTAAATGCGCCTGTCGAATTTTCCTATTATTAAACATGTTTACTTGGTCCGAATACTTTTCAGCTAGAAGTTTTTCATGTCATCCATTACTATGACTGATTTGTGGGTTTTGTGTTTGTTTAGACAAGGAAGTTCGCTGCCAATGAATTGATGGAATTCTATCAAGTAAGCAATTACTACTAAGCAATTCTAGGCTTCTCTTCGATCTTATTTTTGTTAATGTTCACTTTTGTATTCCATGATTCTTTTCTGTAGGCATTATCCAATTTTTCTATTGGATTATTTTGATTCGTGTGGTTTTTCTATACTCAAACTTTTATTGGTCTATGGTGGTCATTGATGCAAAGTTTTGACAAGTTGCTTTCCTTATTATATGCGCAGTCAGATCAAAAGCTGAAGAAATTCTTACACATCATCGAGGGTTCACCTGTTTTCCCTGTCATATATGATCAGAACAGGTAATTACGGTTTACTAGTTCTCAATGTTTATTATATGATGGCACTTGCTTGTGCAGCCTTAGGCAATTGGTTTCCTCATTGTCCAAATTCTTTTGTTTTCTTTTCAATTCTTTAAGAATGATTAAACTTCCTGAGGTTCTGTTAGGTAACGTGTTTTTTGGAACAGTATAAGCTCCATGTATCTCATATTTCTCCTGGTGTTAGAAGTTTAAGTTTTGTCACTTGTATGCTGTTTGTCTTGAGAAATTTGTTTATGGTTTCTCTGATGTAAAGAAACTCTTCTGCAGAACTGTTTTGTCTTTACCCCCAATAATCAATGGTGCTCATTCTGCCATTACTTTAAAGACAAAAAATGTTTTCATTGAATGCACTGCGACTGACTTAACAAAGGCCAATATCGTTTTGAACACTATGGTAAGAAACTGGAGCCCTTAGATGGTGTTCGTAATTGTCTTGTTTGCTTCCCGCAAGTATTTTTGATTGTGCATCGTTTTGCAGGTGACCATGTTCTCAGTGTATTGTAAAGAAAAATTCCAGGTTGAACCAGTGAAAGTAATTTACCCTGATGGGAAATTATATTCTTGCCCTGACCTATCTGTCTACCACATGGATGTGCCTTTGTCATACATAACCAGAATAGTTGGAGTCTCTTTGCCAGAGAAGGAGGTATTATGTTTTGTGTCATTTGTTTTCTGTACTCATCTTTGCTTAATAATCCTGAACTTGCATCCTCTTAATTACTAGACCATCAAACTTCTAAATAGATTGGATACATTAACTATCTTCAGCAGTAAATTTGTCTGCCTTTTCAAGTGATTTCTTTTGCTGCACTCAAGATGTGCGACGAATTGTTGTCAACTACAGAGCTCTTCTTTCCATTCTTCTGTCTCTTCCCTAGTCTCTGAGCTAGAATAGCTTCCCTTTCTGGTTTTGTAGCTACAACATGACCTAATGCATTCAACTGCACATGGTTTGAAGCGTTACCGCCTCCTACTGCTTTATAATACAGGTCTTTTTATGTTAAGCAGTTGTACAGGCTAGACTGAGAGCTGATGGGTGGGTTTTCAATATTTACATATAATCATGAATCATCATTTTTTGCTAGTGTAATCTGGCAGTAGTTGCAAAGTTTGTAATCAAATTAAAGAGCATCTTCTAGAAGTTGCTCCTTGATTCCTTGAAAACTGGAGCTTTTTGAAGTAGCAACAGGTCAGTAAATGAAAAATTATTTTCTAATGTTTCTTTTATAGGTCAGGTCAAAATGATTTTAAGGCTTTTAAGCTGACTTTCATCTGGCTATCTTTTCAAGTTACTATTGTATGTTATTGTCTATTAGCAAATAAGTCTTTCTATTAAATTAGTTATTGCCAAATTGACAGTGATGAGGTAAATTCAAATTCATGAACTTGACAGGTTGAAATTTTTGCTGCTTACGGACGTTGAAAATTTCATTAAAATTTTCCAAACTTCTAAAAGGATGTATGTGCATCTTATATTATGGCCTAGCACTACTATGCTAAGTTTTTGGCTGCCAGAAGCCTCAATAGTTCTGAGATTTGTGTTCCTGCTTTTCTTACTCATGCCTTTTTTTCATGTTTTCGGGATGAGGAATGAAATAAAAATTAGACATATGAAACTCTCTTTGCATCCACTCTTTTCCAACCCACTTTAAAAGTTGTGATTGGCTATACTTTCTTAAAACCAGAACTTAAAAAATCTGCTTGTTCTAAACTTGTTTACCAGGTTCATTATAGATTCAGTTTAAGGGTTTGAAAAAGTTTGATTATACTAGCTGAGTTTGGATTGTTAATGTGCAATTAACTGTATAGTTGTGGGATTGTAACAACCTTTAAATCTACCATATGTTTCGGTTAGAATAAACTCTAGCATGATAATGCCTTGGTAGTGATATTCATCTTGATATGTTCAAGTCTGTGTATGTGTCACATTTAGTCACAGGTATACAAAAGTCTGGCTATATACATTATTATACATCAATTATTCTTATGTACATATATCCTTGTCAACCAGAATCTATTAATACACACAAGAATGATGAATTGAATACTGCACAATGGCATAAACAAATACTCGAACTAAATGATTTTAAATAAAAAATAAATCTACCTGCTTGCATTATGCGTCTATAGATTGCATGATGCACAGTTGGATGGGATAATCACTTCCTCTTTATAGTCATTCTTTCTGTTTAAGAACTGCATCCCACCCACTATTTAACTAAAGGCTGGAAAATAAGAGGTGCTTGCTGTATATTTTTCTGTGTAAAACTGTGTTTTCATGTTCTGGCCACCTACATCCTCACTAATTTGACAGGGTCAACTTGTTTCAGGTAGCCAGTTTACTATATAGAATGCAATTAGAAGCCAAGCTGTCTATATCAGGAGATGAAACGGTCAACTTTACTGTGTCTGTACCACCTACCAGAAGTGATATTCTGCATCCTTGTGATGTGGCTGAGGTAGTTTCCTGACTTTTTTTTCCTTTTTAAGACTAATGCACATTATTTGTCATTTTATAATATCATTAATTGACTATAGCTTTCTTGTTTCTCAAGGATGTTGCAATAGCTTATGGGTACAATGAAGTACCCAAGACAAAACCTTCATCTTTGAAGCCATGTTCGTTGAATCAGCTGAGTGATCTAATCAGGATGGAGGTAATGCTTATGTCATCCCTTGTGTTAGTCACTGACTTGATAAATTAAAGAATTTTTTTTTTGAAAATTATACCCTCATTTGCTATGCTTTCATGTGGTTTGATAGCCAATTTTGACAGATTGGCAACAAGCACAACACTTTTGCAATTGGGTGGGGAATTTGGAAAGCAAAATATAATTTTGACCTAAAGTGCGTGTTGTAATAATCTAGTAACTGTTAGGTTTTTGCTCTAATTTTAGAGAATGATGTCTATTGAAATTATAATCTGTGCTAAATGTGAATTTATGTGGATACAGTGTTTTTTCCTGTTGTGTTAGTGAAGATGGTCTCGGATGTTTCACCTTCTAAGCCTGTTCACTTTGTTAGAGAGGAATATTCTATCTTTACTGTCTTTTTGATAGGTTGGTGTGGGTTGGAGAGAGGGGAGTTCTCATGACTTAATATGTATAATATGTGACTTATTGGTTTTTTCAAGGTTGCTACCTGTGCATACTTTGGTATCTGCTGTTTAGAAATGCTAAAATATTGGAACCTGTTAATATCTAAATTGTGCTCTTGGTGTTTCAATAAGACAAACCATGCATCATCTTTGATGGGTTGTGATTTGCCTTATTTTTTTGCTTTCAAACAACTTAAATATATGGGGCAGTACACATCCGTTGAATTCTGCTATAGTAATAAATGCAGATCATTTTTCTTTTAATGACAAAATTATGGTCATTTCCTGCGACAATTTCGTATACCAGCGATTCCTTCCCAAAATATCTTTACTCGTGCGAACAGCCACTTTTGGCTTCATGGTTAAGTGTTTCTGACTTCCAATTCTTTTTTTCTTTAAAGGTAGTCATGCACTGACACAGAGATCATGAGTTAGAAGTTTAAACTGAAACACAAGTTATGAAATAAGCCACTGGTACATTGCCATAAAACAGATTTTTTTTTCCTAAAACCTTGAAATCTACCCTTATGTGAGCTTTCTTACGGACTAGATCACTATATGTCTTTTCTTTAGTAAGTTTGATGGGAAATATCTATTTGTTTATAAATCTTGTTACTTGTCATCTAACCACCCGTATGACGTACTTAATGGTTGCCAGCATGGCCGTTAGCACCGCCTCAAATGCCAGATCTTCAAGAAGCGCTGAAACCTTTTGTGGATTGAACATGGGTTAGAAGTGTATTTAAGAAGGCAAAGAAGAACTGGTCTTGCTTGCTAAAAGTCAAAGTTTAAATGTGGTTATGCTTATTTTACATCACCATAGCAAGGGAAGAATAAAGACAGCTACAGGTGGAGAGAGAGAGAGAGAGAGAGAGAGAGAGAAAGAGAGAGAGAGAGAGTGCGTGTGAGAGTGAGATGAACTGCTGTTTTTGGGTTGCAACAGAGGGGCTAGCTGCTAGCAAATGGTGGTGCCAGTGAAACACAAGTGGTGAGGGAAACATAATTGATTCATGTGTTAAAAAATGAAGATAGTGGAAAAGTGGAGAAAAAAAGACGAAGATAAAAGGAAAAGAATATAACCTTCTGTCCTTGCTTGTGAAAATAGTGCAACTGGACCCAAGGGAATGTTAGTGAAAGATTTTGATTCTGTGGATGAAACCATGTTAATGTCTTTGACTCTAGAAATTCCTGCAGAGAGCTAGAGTAGTTCACTTGTGACAAGGAGGAGTTAAACCAATTATCTTAAACGGTAGTTGGACTAAGGGCTCCTTTAATTTACTTTTCATTGTCTCTGGTTGGGGGGGAAAAGATGGATATTATATAGTTGTTGCTAGATGTATTAGAAGGCAAAAGCTTCTCTGGAATTTTATCGAAATTTGATACAAAGTTAAGTATATAATTTCAATGGCCAGAAGTGTAAAAAGTTTCTCTTGGTTCTGTATAAGCAGAAAGAGTTAACAAGGGAGGTTATTGTTATTTGAAAAGTAAGAGCAGGTGCTTGTGCAGGGAAAAATCTCGGGGAAGGCTGTTTTGCCTTAATTGGAATACAATGTTCAGTCGTGCTTATCTTGAAAATACCTAGTAGTTTGAATTTTGCTGAATTGATTTGCTATTTGGTTGTCCTTGTGGTCTCCCATGGCTTTGCATAATAATACATTTTTCTCTGTAGTGTGGTCATATTTTCATTAGTATTGTTCACGTGGAATATGATTTAATCAGTTCCATGATTCTAACTTTGGTTTCGTTTCTTTTTTTGCTTTACAATTCAGATTGCAATGGTTGGTTTCACAGAAGTCCTAACATGGATACTTTGCTCATATAAAGAGAATTTCACCATGCTCAACCGCAAGGATGATAAAGCAACAGCAGTAATCAATGGAAATCCTCGTTCTGCTGATTTTGAGGTTGGTTTTATTTATAGTGTGATCACGTAAAAATTTAACATTATGGTGTTCTTGCTGACTACATATAATGGTTTTTCTTAAAGTTTTTTTTTTGCTTGGATTTTTCCAAATTGGTTTCCTGGTCTGGTAATGTGACGCAAGAGTGGAGATCTTATGCAGTCTGTTTTAAAATGTGTATTGTGAAGTTTGACCGTGATGCATGTTGACAGTAACCAATTTGTGTTATGTATCTTTATGTCATTTTATAAACATTAGAAAAATAAAGAAAGGGATGAACAGTTATGGAAGATCTCCTGCATCTTCATGGTACCCTTTGCTGAGAATTGTGACATCTAGTTTTCATGAATAACTTGATGGTTATATTTGATGTGTTTAGAAGGGAACTTAATAGGCTGCGCACCTCCTGTAAATAAGAAATGGGAGTGCTCTTGCCAGTCTTTTGGATTAGCATTGTGGTTCCTTCTAGTTTTCAGTATAGTCAGTGATCTTCTCCATTTTGTTGAGTTGTGCCTCCGAGAGATACATGATACAGCTCTTTTGTTTCTATGTACTCTGGAAGAGTTTAAAAAATATGAGTTCAATAGCATATGCTGTTTGAACTGGGAAACTCCATGATAATGATTTTTCAAGAGGGCAGATATCTAAAAGGCTCTATCAAATTTTCTCTGTTGATTTTGTAGAAAATCTTGTTTATTCATCAAGTGATTGGAATGGATTCATTAAATTAGTAAAAGATTATTCACATAGCATCCCCCACTTTTCACTTGCAAAATGGTATGTATTTGCTCTTATCTGCCACATTCGTTCTCAGCATGGTCTGCTGCATGTTTAAATCTGCAGGTGGTGCGCACCAGTCTCATGCCTGGCATACTAAAAACAGTTGCACACAACAAAGATCATCCAAAACCTATCAAGGTAAATGGCATTATTTGCTGGTCCCTGCAAATGCATAATTTAAATTAACTTTGACATCATTGTAATGTTTTACTACACGTCTCAAGAAACAGAAGTATGAAGTGGCATTAAATGATAGGCTCGTCTTCTGGGTTCCTTTCACTCGCAGATGATTTACTCAGATGACAGTAACTTATAGGTTTATGAACAATAATAATAACATCTGCACCGAGTGCACTAAAGCGAGGGGCTTAAACGTGAAATCAGATCTCAGTGCACTAATGTCTGAAGTGTCTCATGCTCATTTGTATAGCCTTATTTTGGAATGTCTATAACTAAAGATGCTGATGAATAAGAGATTCTAGCATAGAACAGTGCAAATAAGTGCACCAAAGGCCAAAGTTTACAAACTAAAGTGCCATAACAAATAACATAACCATGGTTAGAGATATATATAATGCGAGATATACCAAACAAGCAGTTAAACTTCAACCAGTGAGGAAATTTCTTGCTACTGAGTTTATTAAATGAATGTAATATTGAGCTTCACGACTTCATCAATTATGTATAGAGAATTGAGGCTTAACCTATTTATAATCAGTTATGCTATGCTTCTACACCAAAATGATATCCCACTACTCACTAATCTAGGCTTAAGAAAAAACAAGCAGAGTTCTTATGGTTCTTAAGAAAAGCAAGGCCCAAAAAGATAGACAGCAAAGGATTAGAGCTTTCTGTTTTCCTTTTCAATAATAGTATATGTTTCAGCATTCCTTTGCACTTAGTGTGCTTTTCCAGCACCTGAGAATAATGGCTGACTTTGGACTCCAGCAACTGCTAGTTTGCACTTTGCTTTGTTTTGTGCTTAAGCATGCGCTTTGCTTTGTTTTGTGCTTAAGCATGCGCTTTTGACCAACACAAGTGGTTGAGCAACTCTTGTGTCCTCACCACACACGTGGCAGTTGAGTGGTGCAGAAAAAGTAGTAGGTATCCCGAGGACATCATCTGAAAGCCTCAATGGTAGTAATTCAAATTTTAGATTTACCAAAAAGTTGGTTCAGTTCTTCCCTTCCAAAAATCAACTTTAAATCAAAGTTCCCTACATTGTTTCTCTAAATGCTATTGATTTGCTTTCACCTTTCTCCTTTTAGTTTTTGTCAACTCTTAAGTTCTAAGAACTAAACTTGCGAGCAATAGAGCTTGGAAATGGGCTAATGTGAAATCCATGTATCAATTGATTGCTAGCCTCCTTTAATGAATAAGAACTGTAATTTATGACCATAAAAAGCAAAAGATTAGTAGGTGAGGACAGAATTAAATAGACATTTATTTTTTGTTTGGAGATGGAAGTTTGGTTGATTGGGATGTGCTGAATTTTGAACATTGGTGACTTAGTGGTTTGTAGATGGAGACTTTAGGGTTGTGGATTAGGCTTTTAAGATATGATTTTGAGGTATCTCATATATTCTTGATCCTTTTTTTTTCTTCTTTTTTTTTTATTTATTTTTACTTAGTCTGTTTGTCAGTGGATTGTTTTTGAAAGACCAGGTAACTTTAAACACCTCAATTCAAATGCTTGAAATAAGAACCCAAGGTTCCTCTGTTTTGGCCTGGTGGGTTTTAGGATCACTGGGATTGGTAGGTATGTGCTTTGGTGAACCGGTCAAACTGATTGATTTGGGCCAGATTTTCGTAGGACTCTGTTGTAGGCATTAACATTATGCCTGTTGCTGATTATGTTGCCATGCACACATTCTGGATATTAATTGTATGATCGAAATTTTCTGATACTTCATTATCATTTTAGATATTTGAGGTGGGTGATGTAGTGCTATTGGATGAGTCAAAAGATGTTGGTGCAACAAATCGTCGTCACATTGCAGCTTTATATTGTGGTGCTAATTCTGGGTTTGAGGTAATTGTTCTTTCCCATAGTATAGTTGTCATCTAAAAATTTATATTTTTAGAATACATGTGATATTTTTTGGAGAATCTGACCTTTGCTTGAAAGTATGCCATGTTTCTTTGTGCTTGGAAACAGGTAGTGGTTTTTGACCCTTGTGTTAATTTATTTCTACAAGGTGGTGCAAGTACTATACAATCTTCAGTTTTGTGCTTGATGTGTTTGTTGGTGAAGGCTTGAAGAGGGTGTCTCTGCAATTGAATTACAAGGAGATTTTTTCTTTCTGTGCAAATTATTGGATACTACGACTAATCTGAACAATTATTATTTTTGTTGTTGGAACATCAACTGCAGCTCAAGCTGTGCCTGACAAACGTAATTTTGATAATTGTAGGAAGAAAGTTGAGCTCAGCTACAGAAAAATTCATTTGAGCTTGCTTTAACAATTAAACAAAAGTTCCTGGAAGTCTTACTAATTTATCATTGTTTTTTTATTAATGCATTGGGATTGGGAAGGTTTCCAATGAAAGGGGGAAACTGTGATTATTACATATTTTAAGGAGGTGGGAAGGGTGCATACATGTTATTCTTTTTTCTAAGCAAGGTGATGGCACAGGAGGTCAGATCTTAGATGGGAGAACTGTGCTGGTGGAGATGGGGGAAGGATAGGAAATTTTGGTGTGATATTTTGGTATGTAAATGGGGGAGCACATTTTTTTTTAATCTGCCTGGAGGAAGGAACAAGGTGTTGGGCAGACTGCTTGGGTGTTTTTGATGTTTGTTTGTGTTTACACAATTGTGGATGGCTCTAGTGGGCATTAGCTAATTACTGTGATGGTTAAAAGTGTGTTATTGAGGGACATGATATTCCTTTCAAAACCTGAACCTTGAAATTTAAAGATTAAGCATGTTAACCGTATTTTATATTTTTACTTTTATTTTTTGTTTTTGCCATTATGAAGATTGTTTTTGTTTGCATCTTTCAGTTTGGCTTTTGCATTGAAAGCTTTTACTGCAGGCATTTATGTAATTTAACAAAAGATACTATAAAATATTGGGGCTTAATTTTGATCAAAAGCAACATTGAAACTGAAATTGTTTGGATTAAACTGTGGGAAGTATTTGATTTTGAGAAACTCCTTTTGCTTTTATCTCTTTTTCTTTCCTATCTTTTTATTGAACTTTGTGTTTATCTTTAACTTGGCCTTTGGGGATAGAGTGGAGAAAATTCAAAATTTCAGCATTTTGTTCTACACGAAGATGCTGCTTGTAGTTTTCCAAATCTAAGAGGTTTAATTGTAACATGGACAATTTTGAAGGGATCTATGCATGATAGTCTTGCATCGGGAACTTCATGATTTGTTTATTTTGTGAATTTCAAGTATCCAAATCCAATAAGCCACATGATATAGCTTCTGGCCATGGTTTACGAAATTCATTTGCTTTTCATCATCACTATTTTCCAGGGCTTTAAATTCATCATTCATGCGATTTTTCAATCATGATATTTATATTGCTGAAGTTGTAAGTGGCAGCCTCTAGATTAATTGACTTGATATTTTCTTTTGCAGCTGATACATGGTCTGGTAGACAGAATTATGGAAGTCACTGGAACACCTTTTGTATCACCTGGGGATGATGTGGGCTACTATATCAAAAGTGCAGATGTAAGGCTTATTGCAATAATTTCTTGAAACTACATTTCTGCAGTGTGATATATATGCATTTTGACTGCTTGCTGTAGGAGCCTGAATTTCTTCCCGGTAGACAAGCAAGCATCATTTACAAGGGGAAGCAGATAGGGACCTTTGGTATAGTGCATCCAGAGGTATGTCACTTGACATTCAAGTGAATGCTTTGTAGGTCAAATTTAAGGTGCAAGAACCAGCTGCCCTTTTCTTGGACTGATTGATAGTGAATAGGCTACTAAGCTTGAAGATCTTGAATATAAGTTCTATACAGTATTCATATAAAGCGAGCTCATTTTGAGGCTGCATCATTTCAATTTTTGGTGTGGTGCATTTGGTTTTACTAGTCTAATTATACCCATTTATAATTCTGTAGACACAAGGTTCAACACTTAAATCTGTATTCTTAATCATATATCAAGCTTCCATGCCAATTTTTACACCTGGTTCACTATACATAAATGAGAATGCTCTTTTAGCTGATTCTATGATCTGTATGCAATTTTTTGTTTCTCGAGGCATTCTGTAATTAACTGCCACTAGCACAGAACGTGACTATAATTCTTTGTTGTATTTGATGACTATCAATATTTAGTATCCTTTATTTCTTTATCTTGTGGATATCAGGTGTTGCAAAACTTTGACATTCCAGATCCGTGCTCCTTCGTCGAGCTTAACATGGAGATCTTTTTGTAGGGATAGATCTTCAATATCATCTAAATATGTATCTCTTGTATTCTTCCTAGAACTTCATTCATAGCAAGGCTACGCAATTCATACTCTATTTCCTGTAATCTGTAGAATCTGTTCTCGGGCACCTGGTATTGATGATTAGTCCAGGAGTAGACGCTCAGTTTGAATTTTTTTTCTTTTTTTTTTTCCGAATAGAAAAACGGTTCTCATATAAAGCTACTTGTGCAACTGTTTCTGGTATCCGTCACTAGATCGGAGTATTCTCCATTTTTAATTATTAATATCTAAATAGTTATATCTAGAGATCTTGATCTAAGGATGCCAGTGTTTGGCGAATTTATGTAAATAATGGCAAAAGAACAAATCATGACAAATTTGATGTTCCGGAGAAAGTAGTTTCTTAGCTTCTTAGCAAGGGTCGCTGCAAATGAGAGCGTTGAACAAAATTGAATTTATATTAGCTTTTATTAAAATATAAGTCGCACAACTTATAGGAATATATATATTTTTTAATGTAAGTCGCATGGTAATTTATAGAAATATAATTTTTGGCGCCATCATTGTAGATGCTAGCATTCACATTTGATTAGCCTAAGTTTCTAATTTTCATTTCTGTTTACTGTAGAAATCGATATGTTTTTCGTAGAATTTGATATGTATTAGTAGCTAGTAATTTAACAATTTCTTCAAGGGATATACCTGCTGTGGATGATGGTTGTTGTTGCTGATATTGATGTTGAAGACCTATGGTCTTCCTGTATAATTAAAGTTGGAGTTGTTCCACCATCCTTGATCATACATATTTGAATAAGAGTTATACCACATTTTAGACAGGGCTGGAAAACCTCCAAAAGTATTGATTGCGACTAGAGCTGTTAAATGGAACGAGCAGCTCGAAAGCCATTGAGCTCGATTCAATAAGGCTTGAGCTCGACTTGTTAATTGAGATAAACGGGTCGAGTTCAAGATTGAGATATGCTCGTTTAATTAACAAGTCGAGCTTAACAAGCTGAGTAAGTTCGACTCGTTTGTTATCTGAGTAGTTCGACTCGTTTGTTATCTGAGTAGTTCGCTTAGGCTCGATAACGAATGGTACATATGTCATTTCACAATTCAAAAGTATAAAAATTGAAAATTATAGACTTTATTGCAGTCAATTTGCACGAGCTCGTACAAGCTCGGATCGTTTGTGATAAACAAGTCGAGCTCGAGCTTGAGCTCAAGCCACATGTTTCATTTGGCAAGTCGAGTCCGAGCACATTTCAAAGCTCATCCGTCGAGTCGAGCGAGCTCGAGCTTGGTTCGAGTTAAGTTCGAGTTGAGTTCGGCAGCCAAATACTCGACTTGACTAACAGCACTAATTGCGACACAAGTCATTTTGAAATGCAAGACACATATCGGTTGAATGATCCGAGACATAACAAATTTCACAGGTTGCAACAGCCAATTTTTCTACAAGAGAGGTTAATGTATGTAAATGTTGATTATTAGAAAAGACACGAGCTTCATTAACCCTTCTAAGAATAAAATTCAGTCTATCACCAAAATATTGAATATTAGCAGTCATAAATTAGTAAAAAAATAAGAGAAAAATAAAAATTAAAATAAGATGAATTCAAAAAGGAACAAATTAATCAAGTACAGTCCCCGGCAATGGCGCTAAAAATTGACAGTTGTCAAACTTGTGTAATCATAAATACCTAATCAAATAAAATACAAATTTTTGTATATAACAGTGACTAAGGTCGAATTCACAAGGACTGGAAAAAATTTGTTTACGGGGGATTTTTATAAAATTGGGAATAATTAAAGAACTCAAATAAAAAGGACTAAATTACAATTAATTGAAATTGAATTAATAATAAACAAACTCTAGCCAAGAAATAATTTTGAAAATGGTTCACTCAATTGGTCATTGATGCAATAATAACTTCATTTGCTCACTGATAAACAAGTTATAACTACCAAATAAACGATGACAATCAACTTCTCCTTACTGTATTGATAGTTAAGGTACGGTCGTTAACCACTGTCTTAATCAAGAAATAATACTAGATACGACTTTAGAGTTCAATTTCCAAATTGCTTTAAGAATTAGAGAAGTCTTGTTCTAATCAAATAACACGTTACAAGGGTTATTTTAAGTTAGCCCATACGTCCCCCTGACACAAACTCAATCATGTCAATTACCACTAGTTTAAAACAATTAAACAATTACGAATTTAATTGTTCTAATTGGTTTTAAATTATTATATTAATTTAAATACCGGCCCTGAATATTCAAACAACATAATAATCGTAAGAAATTAAATCAGGGAACATACAAATACTAGTAGTAAAAGAAATAAATATAATCAATACGATTTCACAATTTTAGTTGAACGAAGTCCTCCGTTGTTCATTGACTAGAATGAAAAGTTTAGCTCACCTCCACCAAAAAAGCCACATGCAAAATATTTGGATCAATTGCCGAGACCATTCTCCAAAAATATGAGATAAAGTGTTAAGAGGAAAAGAAGAAAAGCAAAAGAAACATCGTTCTTTTTCCTTCGGGAAAGAAAAAGATGACGATCCTATTCCCTTGGCTTCGTTCTCCAATATCTACTAAAATTCCTTTCCTAAACGAAAACAAACTCCTAATAGGCAATAGATTCTTTTCAAAAAATCAAGATAGATAGACTAGATTAGTGTTCTATCAAAAGTGAAAAATTATCCATTCGGTGTAGAGACTCTGATCCTCACAACTTCGATTTAAAATTGGAGATCTTCTCACGTGCCAAATCTCAAGCTTCCCAGACGTGCAGGTAAGACTTTGACATGCTCGCGCTAAACTGCACAAAGGTCTAGTTAAAAATCATGTCTTTAATTCCTTTTTCCTCCGAATCCCTACAACCAGTACCAATTACCAAATAAGTAGAATCTATCAATTAATGCAATATTTGGCTAAAATCAAGAAAAAATAATCATAAATTTAATAACAAAAATGTAACCTGTCAGCGATCAACAAGGGAGGGGTTTAGGAGGGGGAAGAGAGGGGAGGGGGGTGACTAGGGAGGGAAGGGAAGGAGGGAGGAGCAAGGAGAGAGAAGGAGAGAGAGGAAGAAGAAGAAGAGGGAGGTAGGAGAGAGGAGGGGGACAGTGCTAGCGGTGTTAGAGGTGGAAGGGTGGTGACAGTGGAAGTGGCAGTGAAGGGTGATGGGAGGTGACGGTGGTGAGTAATGTGTGGAAGCAAAAAGATGGAATTTTTTTTTGGCCGTTTTTAGGTGTATTTGAAAGGTTGTATTTTTGGAATTGTTTTTCATGGATGTGCCTTTGTCATACATAACCAGAATAGTTGGAGTCTCTTTGCCAGAGAAGGAGGTATTATGTTTTGTGTCATTTGTTTTCTGTACTCATCTTTGCTTAATAATCCTGAACTTGCATCCTCTTAATTACTAGACCATCAAACTTCTAAATAGATTGGATACATTAACTATCTTCAGCAGTAAATTTGTCTGCCTTTTCAAGTGATTTCTTTTGCTGCACTCAAGATGTGCGACGAATTGTTGTCAACTACAGAGCTCTTCTTTCCATTCTTCTGTCTCTTCCCTAGTCTCTGAGCTAGAATAGCTTCCCTTTCTGGTTTTGTAGCTACAACATGACCTAATGCATTCAACTGCACATGGTTTGAAGCGTTACCGCCTCCTACTGCTTTATACAGGTCTTTTTATGTTAAGCAGTTGTACAGGCTAGACTGAGAGCTGATGGGTGGGTTTTCAATATTTACATATAATCATGAATCATCATTTTTTGCTAGTGTAATCTGGCAGTAGTTGCAAAGTTTGTAATCAAATTAAAGAGCATCTTCTAGAAGTTGCTCCTTGATTCCTTGAAAACTGGAGCTTTTTGAAGTAGCAACAGGTCAGTAAATGAAAAAATTATTTTCTAATGTTTCTTTTATAGGTCAGGTCAAAATGATTTTAAGGCTTTTAAGCTGACTTTCATCTGGCTATCTTTTCAAGTTACTATTGTATGTTATTGTCTATTAGCAAATAAGTCTTTCTATTAAATTAGTTATTGCCAAATTGACAGTGATGAGGTAAATTCAAATTCATGAACTTGACAGGTTGAAATTTTTGCTGCTTACGGACGTTGAAATTTCATTAAAATTTTCCAAACTTCTAAAAGGATGTATGTGCATCTTATATTATGGCCTAGCACTACTATGCTAAGTTTTTGGCTGCCAGAAGCCTCAATAGTTCTGAGATTTGTGTTCCTGCTTTTCTTACTCATGCCTTTTTTTCATGTTTTCGGGATGAGGAATGAAATAAAAATTAGACATATGAAACTCTCTTTGCATCCACTCTTTTCCAACCCACTTTAAAAGTTGTGATTGGCTATACTTTCTTAAAACCAGAACTTAAAAAATCTGCTTGTTCTAAACTTGTTTACCAGGTTCATTATAGATTCAGTTTAAGGGTTTGAAAAAGTTTGATTATACTAGCTGAGTTTGGATTGTTAATGTGCAATTAACTGTATAGTTGTGGGATTGTAACAACCTTTAAATCTACCATATGTTTCGGTTAGAATAAACTCTAGCATGATAATGCCTTGGTAGTGATATTCATCTTGATATGTTCAAGTCTGTATGTGTCACATTTAGTCACAGGTATACAAAAGTCTGGCTATATACATTATTATACATCAATTATTCTTATGTACATATCCTTGTCAACCAGAATCTATTAATACACACAAGAATGATGAATTGAATACTGCACAATGGCATAAACAAATACTCGAACTAAATGATTTTAAATAAAAAATAAATCTACCTGCTTGCATTATGCGTCTATAGATTGCATGATGCACAGTTGGATGGGATAATCACTTCCTCTTTATAGTCATTCTTTCTGTTTAAGAACTGCATCCCACCCACTATTTAACTAAAGGCTGGAAAATAAGAGGTGCTTGCTGTATATTTTTCTGTGTAAAACTGTGTTTTCATGTTCTGGCCACCTACATCCTCACTAATTTGACAGGGTCAACTTGTTTCAGGTAGCCAGTTTACTATATAGAATGCAATTAGAAGCCAAGCTGTCTATATCAGGAGATGAAACGGTCAACTTTACTGTGTCTGTACCACCTACCAGAAGTGATATTCTGCATCCTTGTGATGTGGCTGAGGTAGTTTCCTGACTTTTTTTTCCTTTTTAAGACTAATGCACATTATTTGTCATTTTATAATATCATTAATTGAC